AGGAGGAGGAGGAGGAGGGGCGCGATGTTCCATTGCCTTCCTGGGTGGAAGATCTTCTCACGCTGGTGGGCTCGCAGGACATGCTCTTCCGCCTCGGCAAGGCGCAGTGCCCCAAGCCCTGCTTCTCGAAGGTGCTGGACGCGGATCTCGAGGCCGAGAGGGTGGGGGGATCGGCACAGAGGAGCGCTGGGGAGACTCCGACGAAGCATTTAAATCGTCATCATCATCATCATCATCATCATCATCATCATCATCATCATCATCAGCATCAGCATCAGCATCATCATCATCATCATCGTCGTCATCGTCATCGTCATCGTCATCGTCATCGCCATCGATATCGTCATCGTCATCGTCATCGACATCGTCATCATCATCAGCCTCCTCCTCCTCCTCCTCCTCCTCCTCCTCCTCCTCCTCCTCCTCCTCCTCCTCCTCTCAAGCCAGCACGGGGGCCTGCCCGAGGCGCTCGGGGCACAACGCGCGGCGCCTTTTATAGTAGCGGCGGCAGCCTGTCGACGGTGACCAACACCCGTGCACCACCCCATAGGGCTCCAGCAGGATATCGTGATGGACAAGAAGACCATCAAACACACCTGGTCCACCTGCGCGCAGTGGAAGACCTGGGACTGGGACGACAAGTTCCACAACCTCCAGTACCACTGCAGACGTTGTGGTTCGGAGGTCTGGCCCCACCAGGAGGAGCCTGCGCGTGGGCAAGTCAGCCAGCAGGCGCAGCAGCAGCAGCCGACGCAGGCGGGCGGCGCAGACAGTGCCCTGCTGCAGCAACTGCTCGCCTCCGTGGCCGCGGGGGCGCCCGCCGCGCAGATAGCCGCGGCCGCTGCAGCAGCCATGCAGCCAGTCGCGCCCGCGGCCAAGACGACGCCACCCGACGAGATGGTCAGGAGGGCCTCCAATGCCTGGAAGGACGCCAGCTACAAGCACGACCAGGCGGTACATCAGGTGCTGCTCTGCGAGGAGCGGCTGCGGACTGCCGTGAAGGAGGCAGCGGCGGCGCTCGCGCTGGCGCGCGCGGAGCAGCAGCGCCGCGACGCGGCGCAGGCCTTCTCGCAGCAGGTCGGCACCTTGCAGGAGAAGCGCGACGCGGTGTTCAGATTGCACTGCGACCCGCAGCTCTTTGATAACCTGGACGAGCTGGACGGCATAGAGGACGCCGAGAAGGCGGACCCCCGCACGGTGCTGGAGGACCTCAACGCCTACACGGTCCAGTTCGCGGAGCGCGGCGACGATATCAAATCGAGGACCGACAGCGCCAAGGCTATCCACTTGGCAGTCGACGAGCGGCTCGCGAAGAAGCGGGGGGCCTGTCGACGAAGGTGAACTTGGAGGTGCAGCCCCTGCCGCGGCAGCCGTTGCACAACCATCAGCATCGCCAGCGGCCTCAGCCTCCTCGCCTGCCACCGCAGATGATGGGGCTGCCGATGCTGCTGCCACCGCCGCCGCGACCGCGCTCTCGGCCAAGAAGTGCAAGGAGCTGCGAGCGCAGAAGACGCTCCAGGAGGCGGCGAAGCAGGCGGCGATGACGGCCAAAGGAGGAGGCAAGGGCGCCTCTCCGACTGCATCTCCCTCTAAGTGGCCCCCCACCCCTGGCCGCCAGAAGACCGCGGCGGCGAGCTACAGGGACATCCTTTGCGGCGGCATCACGCAGTGGGGGCCCAAGGCGCACAAGTGGTTGAACGAATCGCCAGAGCGCGACGCCTTCCACGGCTACGTGTTTCAGGGGGCCCACGTCGGCCTCGACGCCATCGCGGACGTGGGGCGGGAGCTGGGCGCGAAGGGGCTCAAGACTTGCTTCTCGGCTGCGACGCAGTCCGCTACTCCCGCGCGGGGCGCGCGCGGGGGCGCGCGCGTGGGGGCCCGCGACCTCTTTCAGACAGCCACGCTCCGCGACGTGGCGGCGCCTGGCTGGACATCGGCTTCGACGTCCTCCACCACTGTGGGCAGCGTGGAGTTCTACGACTGGGTTCCGATGCCCTGGCGCGTGCGCGGGTGCAGGCGGTGCCCCGTTGCGTTCGGGCAACAGCGCGAGGGAGCTCAGCTGCCTGGTTAGGTACTTGCGCGCTACCTCTCACCCCTGGATTCTCGAGGGGGACTCCAGCGTGCCACCTGCGGGGTTCTGGAACTCTGGCTGGCCCGAGGCGCTGGGGGCCGCCGCGTTAGCGGGCATCGCAGACGACGGCTTCGCGCGCGCCAAGAGGGGCTCCAACCCCTCCATCATCGAGCGCGCGCTGCTCAGCCGCAACGCGCTCTCTCATTTCCATAGCGCCGCCGCTGTCGCAGACGTTCCCGGGAGGCCGCACTTGGAGCTGCAACTGCGACTTCGCAGAGAGGCGGGGGATTGCTGGGCGCGACAGGTGCAGCCACCGGCAAATTTTGCGCACCCACGCCTTCCCAAGAAGCAGCCCAAACAGCAAGCGACGACGGAAATTTCGGGAAGCAGCAGCAGCAGCAAGGACACCATTCGGACCCCCGCGACCACCTCGGCATCCACCTGGAGGCATCTTGCCAACGCTGGACAACGAGGACGACCCGCTCATCTGGCGCAGCGCCGCACGGGAGGACAACAACCCCAGCGCCTGCGCCTTGGCTTCCGACGGAAGAGGATCCTTTCGGCCACCTCGACGACGACCCCGACATCGCCGACGGCGTGGAGAGCCCCCACCTGAGCAGGAGCACTCAGACCATGCAGCCACGACCGCAGAAGACAGGCTGCTCCGCGACACAAGCACTTCTACCACAGCGACCGGCGCCATTTGCGCTGACGCGACTACTTGCACGGACGCACCACAGACTACCCCTTTCTGCGGTGATTACTAGTATCCTGGAGGCGGGCTGGGTCCGTCTAGCACCCCTGCCACTGCCATCGCCGGCGAGCCCACCCGACTACATTCGCGACGGCATCAGCTACCGCGCGGACCCCGACGCTGCCGACGTGCTGGGACAGGCCTACGCCAATTTTGCGCACGTGATGGAGAAGTTCCTCTGCGACGCTTACGACGTCAAAGGGGGGCCGACAGCGCTACTCGGGAATGGGCCAAGGATGCCAGTGGAAGTGGGTCAAGCACGCGAGCGCAGGGTTCAGGCGACGCCACTGCACTAACGGCTGTGCGGACTGGAGGGGCAGACTCGCCACGGCACGACGACGCTACGACGCCCTGCTGGACAGAAAGAATGGGGAGGTTCAGAGACAAGCCATCGCCGACAGCTGCAGACGACTGGCGCACCATGGTATACCTGCAGCAGGACAGCGCGAATCTCCACAAGCAGCACGACGCCGACAGCTTCGAAAATATCGACTCCTTGACATCACCAGCCCCAGCCATGACGTCATCAAAGTTGTGCCAGTACAGGCCGAGCAAGAACTTCAACGGATACTTCGCAGAGACATCAAGGCCAGCAACCGCGAGGATGCGCATTGGGTATGCGAGACGACCGCAACGACGCCAGGGACCATCCATCGCATCACGAAGGAGCAGCCCAGGTACGAAGATGAGTTCGTTGACGCCCACGGACACAAGCACAGCGCCACCACAACCATCATCGACGCCAAACCAGAGCAGTTCACGCAGCTTTGGACCACCTCGACCACCACTTCAGACGAGATCAAGGAATTCATCGCACATCTCGTGCGCAGAGCACGCGACGAATCCGACGCCCCTACCTGAGCACTGGAGGACCTCGACAGAGCACTGCAGGGAGAAGCGGGCAAAGGACGTTGACCTGACAAGATGGCGATGACGGACGCGCGACGCCTGCCCCCGCCTGGGCGCCAGGCACTAGTCGACCTATTCGACCTTTGCGAGGCCCGCTGCGGATTCCCTTGGCAATGCGTGCTCGCGCTGGTCACGCATCAACCGAAGGCCAAAGGCGACCGCGCCCTGGCTTCACTCGCATGTTTCAACTGGTGCTGGGAGCCACTCAACAGGTTTTCGATGCAGCGATGGGCACTATCAATGCAAAGCAAATGGGGCGCGGCGGTCGCAGGCAACTCTTGCCTACGAGAGGCGCTGTGCGTGGCGATCTCGGACGAGGTGGCGCGCGAGCTCGACGTCGCGCGCGGCTCCGGCCTCGTGGGCACCCAGGGCTTCTGCGACGCGCTACTCTACCACGGGATCAGCACTGCAGCCAAACGGTGCAATGTTTCTCCTCGCGTTTTGGCCATGGCGGTACAAATGCGCGCGACGGCGAGAATCTTAGGACCGGATGGGCCCTTCAGCCTCCCTTGCCACGCTCTGCGCTCGCAGCTGGCTGGATCACGACGCTCCAACAACTTAGCGGGCACCGTGATTTATGTGGTGCTGGATGGCCTCGCAACCACAGCGCTAACTTGCATGCCGCGGGCTTGGTTCAACGACGTCAGCATCAAGTGCGTGGGGGGCTAAGAACAACATCGCCCGCCAGCTGGTCGCAGCAACGCGCAGTGTCCTCGTCGAGCTCAGCGAGCAGCACCTGGCGATGGTCTCCAGCACACCCACCGCCACCACAGAGGCCATCAGCAGACTCCACGACCTGGGAGCGCCCATCTCCCAGGCCATCGAGGGCAGAGACCTCGGGGTCGACAGAGGCAGGAAAACCACGACGCGCAGAGGCACGCATCAACGACGACGGCGACTTGCAACGCGATGATTTGTAGCCATAGGACGCAGGCTTCGACCACTACTAATCAAGCAGCGACGGCAGGCCATCAACGCGGGGCCAATGCCATCAACAACCTATTCACACAACTTCTACGGAGCATCACCAGCGGAAGCACTTCGCACCAGACAGCAGTGCGCCAAGGCCCTGAGACGGCCTTGGGCGAGGCGATGCTTGGCCGCCCTTCTCGACCTGGAGGCTCTCGACCCAGCAGTCAGCATGCCAACGGCGCAAGTGCGACCATGATTCGACGCGTGGGCGAAGAGACCCGACCTTCGACGGGGCGTCCGGCGGGCGCGGCCGCTCATCCGACACCGACTGCTTGCAGCCCCACCGCGACGCAGGTGGCAACGGAGACGCGGTGCTCTCGGCAGCCTCACCCTCACGCTATGGAGCTGCGGCTGGGACGCAGTCAGGGCCGACTCCTGGGCGGTCGCGGACGGCTGCGCCTGGGAGTTCACCGATGTCAGCCAGGCGGGTGGCCCCACCGAGCTGA